AGTTTCAAGTCTAACTGGCGTATAGCTGTCAACTTCCGACCCGAGTGGACAAAGCCAAAGTTTAAGCCAGAATCCGATTCCGTGCGCCTTATATTCTCCGAGAATCACCGGGAGACCACATAAAACCATGCATCTTCTCCCGACCAATACCTCTGGCCCTGATTGACACCCAGCGATCCAGTGCCTAAACGCGTATGATAAGGCTCAAGCCAAATGTCCTCCCACAACTAACCGCCGGTCGTCGACACGAGGAATGGAATAGCTATTTCACCAAAGGAAACTCAACAAAGTCATACCCAGTTTTTGTCATGGTATCAATCTGTTGACACCGTTTGTACAACTGCACGCATAGAGCGAAAGCGATACACGCACCTTGCGCCGTGCAATTTCTGGTCCTGTGTGCATAGTGTGCCTGCATGCAAAAATTAAAACAGCCGATACACGCTGATACACGCTAACCGGTCGTTCAAACGGCCGGATACACGCAGATACACGGTGATACACGGTTGGGGTCTTGCTCTAAACTTCTAGAAGATTGCGTCAAAACGCACAAACTCATTACCCAATCAGTCGGCCGGTTCAATCAACCCAAGCTTGCAACGTTGCGCGACTCTCAGTGGGGTGCTCAGATGCTTTGCGGAAGGATTTTAGAGATGCTGAATGACACCAAGATGTGACAGCGACTAGTACAAGAACGGTCGATGAGCAACTTTGAATCGCTGCACGCTGACTGTTTTGTTTATGCTGCACGCGAACCGGATATACAAGCTGTTGCGAGTCAAATGCTTTCAAGCTGTATTCCGTTCACATGGTTGTACATATCGCGGGAATCTGCAGGGGAAACAACGCCACATCTCAAACAGTCTTTCCCATTTTTGCACAACGACAGGTTGGATGTGCGTTGGAAACAGCTGCTTGATTTTTATTGCACATAAACTGGCCCATAAACATGTGTAGAAGGCATACGACGAAGTCGATTCGACGATTTTCGAGATCGGGTGCCGTGTTTGAAAAAGTACATTGCCTATCCTACCTTTGACCCTTCATGCTGCAAACTTTCGGAGTAGATCATGGAAGCGACAAATTATGAGCATCACCCTGCATTCAAGCTTTGTACGCTATGTCTAGTCGCAAATGCATTGTCCTAAAGAGCATGTCCGCTGTAAACAATATACGATTCAGGGTCTGTATGCTCCTGCTTCATTTCAACACGCTCATGCTGTCCTGCAAGTGTCATGATCTCGGCCACGTCCCAACACCACGAGCAGTAACACTGCCTTCAATCGAATACGTAATGGTCTAACGCCAGCACACGGTGGAGGCACCAAAGGCTATCAACAGTTGCGACCATGTCGGGAAAATGCACAAATTCAGGCACCTCCAGACGTGTGTAAATACATACATACACACACACATATATATTCATGTATGTATATATATATATAAACATGTTTAAACAAATTTACCTACAAGCGCATGCAGATATCTGTACGTGTATGTATGATGTATATGTACGATGTTATGTATTATGATGGATTATGGGTGTAGAGGCGTATGAATGTAAGACTGCGTGCGTGCATCCAGCTATGTTTTTGCAGCCTTTGTAACTAATCTAGGCTGGTTTAGATTGACATACATACATGCATGACCACGTGTATATATACATACATACATGCATGCGTACATACGATAGAGGCGATACATACGTTACATACATGCATAAATGTATATATGCATAATTACGTCGTTTTCATTAGCTCGCTTGTGTCCTTACGGAAACTTCTGTACTGAAGACTCAGGTGCAGTAGCAGTCCATAGCACAGAATAGTACCATCATGTAACATGTATACTTGCGACATGCAGTTCTCCATGCACGCGCAGCAACAAGTACGTGACCCATGGCACGAGCTTCATTATAGTGTCATTGATGGGAAACAGCACCGACGTGGGTGAACACATACAGTCGAATTGTCTTCAGGGGGTTGAAAGGCAATCAGGTGCTGTGCAGTTGCGAGGAGCTTCCATGATTGGCAGGCGTTGGCTGTTGCTGGGGTGCGACTTCTGTTGTTCGGGTGTTTGCGCATAGTGAATACAATTGCGCATGGGTAAAACAAAGGCGGCGTTTGATGAAGTTGTGGTTCATCTGTTCGTTGCTGAAAACAAAATTGCGCGACAACTTATAAGCCCGGCCGCATGAATATGTGTCAGGGATGTACTCATCATTCTGCCTTGTATTGCCGGAAGAAGCAAACACAAGATTTCGGAAGGCCCGAACCGATCTGCTAACTTATGTATCGGTGGGCCGTTCTGCGGCACGTAAATCAAACGATTTTGTCGTGTCATGGCCAAGATATCAATTGTGAAGTATCCTTCTTTGCCCGCTTGCCCGCTGACCACCCCAGACCCATCGAATTGCTTACCGTCTCCTTATGGCAACCATCCTGCAAGAATTGTAACAGGGTGATCTTCGACAACACACTGGTTTCGGGCAGGAGCTTATGGTACCGGCCACACTTTTACAGATAAACACAGGGAACGTTGCGATTTTTTGCATCATCTTGAAAACCGCATGCCTCGCTGCAGTGGACTTCGTGTGTACATAATATTGATCCCCAACTGTTTTGCACACGCATGTTCATGTGTACACACTTCGCGAAATTGCCAGCTAAAGAAACCGAATAACACTACAGGCAATATGGATATGCCTCTGCGCTTCATAAGCAGCCATCCCGAGCTTTCATGAAACACCCTACATACGAGCTGTGTTTTTACCTCGAACGGCCCAAACACGAGAGACAAAGGTTTTGGGGAGAGCTTATTAGTATAAAACTGCTCGGGCACCGTATACAGTGCCAAATATTCAGTCGCCTGTAAAAGCATTTTGAGTTGGCGGTGCCAGAGCTGTGTATGTAAAGGTTAAAGCAATCAGTCGCAGGAAAACTATGCACGCTTGAAAAACACAAATCTGTACCTATGAAGCATCCAAAATCCGCTTGTCGATCAGACGGTGCTATCTTTCCGTGTCGCTTCGCTTCGCTCTTTTTTTTTTTGGTTCTCTGTCTCTCTCCCTCTCTCTGTGTCCCTCTCTCACGGTCTCCCTCTCCATTCCTCTGATTCCTCGCTCTCTATGTCTATGTGTTTCATTGAATCGCCGGTGCTCTCTCTGACTCTCGCTCTCCGTCTCCTCTTCTCTTAGTGTCTCTGCTATGTATGTATGTCCGTATACATGGATGGATGTATGTATGTGTTTATACGCATATACACAGAAGTTAACGTAAAGAGCACAAAAAACTGATATGCATATCTAACTGTTCCCTTCCTTTCTTCTCTCAACGTGGAGTTGATTCTCTCTGCTCAAATCTGATCCAGAAAAACTGCGTATCGGCCTCGTCGCTACTGGCTTCGCGCCATCGTTTCCATCTCGGGTCGGTACAGTAGCCAAGTACGTCTGGTGTGTAATTTTTCAGTTTCAATTAAGGGATATATTGAATGCTACATATGCGACCCTCCAGCTGTTGGGCCTTTGATATACGAGCGAAACTTGGACGCAGCGATGCTTGACTCTAGGCGTTTGTATGATTTCGGTAAACGAGCCTCAGAATCTCCGCTAAGAACTTGCGATAACTGATGCCACACAGATCAAGCAAGAATCTAAACGGCGAAGAGCAAAGTCTAACAGCCGCTTAGCAAAATCTAACAGCCGGATAGCATTTAACAGCCGGATAGCATCTAACAGCCGGACAGCCCGTGGTGGTTTGGAGCTTTCCGAGATCCTCGCGCACTTGGAGGCTCGGAGGCTGTGAGCCCTAAGCCTCCTTCCCCCAAACCCGTAGGGAACGGGGGCCTAGCGCGCGCGGGGACCGCCGTGGCACCGCGGTTTCGGCGCGGTGTGCTCGGTCGCTCTCGGTAACGTGGTGGTTCAGCGGGGACTCCTGCCTTAACCTTCAAAGGTGGTAACGCCAGAAGGGGCTCGGTGGGAGCCTTTGCGGTAGAAGGGGCGTCTCCGACCCGAGCTTGCGCGGTAGCTGCCGTTTTGGCGCAGTCGTGGTCGGGGGCCTTTCCGAGGACCTTCCGCTCGAGCTAGCGCCTGCGGAGCTTCTTTCCTTTGGAAGAGCCGGGGCGCTCTGGTGCCGCTGCTTTTTGGCGGGTTTCCAACGTAAGGTCTCCCAGCCGCGTCGCTAGCGCCGTCTCGTTGCGCTTGGCCCTTTGCTTCAGGTGCCACCGCATGCGCGAGTTGTGGATAGGGGTCATGAGGTGGCCCCCGTCTAGGTATGCGTCACACAAGAGACACTTCAGGCCGTCTGGTGTGGCCCACTCACCGTTGTAAGTCGGGGCCACCGTGGAGGAGGCGTCTTCCAGTTCCGAAGTTGCCTCTGCTGGAGCACCGTCGGAGCCGGACTCCGAAGTCGACCGGCCAAAGTCAACATCGGCCTCGAATTCTCGGAACCTCCACTTTCCATGTGTCCGCATCGACGATGACCTCTCGCCCCCCTTCCAAGGTCGCCCCTAGGGCGGCAGCTGCAGCTGCCACTTCCTTAAGGAGCGGGGCCTCCTTTGGCGCCGGGCGGCTGCCCTGGTAGGCTTGGAGGTCGAGGCGTGGGCTCGGTCCGGTACCAGCTTCGCTCTCCTCCCTTCCCGCGGGTTTGCCACCTCGGCTTCCCGAAACTTTCCTGGGCTGCCTCGGGACGGCCGGGGGCGAAACGCCCCTCGCCCTCCCCTTGGGACGCCTCACGGAGCTTTCCCTGCCAAAGCCCCTTCGCGTGGGCTTCGACTTTGGCCGACCAGGGCGCATAAGAGAGGATAGCGCTGGTCGGAATCGGTTGACTGGTCAACCAGATTCCGTTTCCTGTGAGTCTGAAGACGCAGCCTTCTTGAACTGCTCGAACCGTGTCGACAGTCACGGCAACTTCAAGGTCTGCCCGCCACCTGCCAGACTTGCAGGACGGGTCTTGCAGATGCAAAGCCCGGCGTAGCGGAAGGAGCCCGTTCAGTTGAATCGGGGGAATCTTAGACCTGTAAGTGCCGTGGAGGAGGATCGGAGGCGGGGTGGAGACGGCTCCAGGGCCGACCACACCTGGCAGCGTGTGTCCAGCCCACGCCGCTGCATACCATTCTCCATCCGACTCCCCTTCTGAGCTCATCTGTCTGAGCACGAACCTCGCTTTCGAGTTCGTGCGCTCCAACTTCTGAAGGAGGGCGAGGTTGATCTCGAGCTCTTGGGCGGCCGGTTCACGGCGGAGAGAGTCGACCAACGAGGCCACCGGCATCCAGCCCTCCTCCGAAATCACATTGCCCTCGGGCCCTTGAGCTCCTTCGTGTCGAAGTATGCGGGTAATGGCATGATCTATTTGATCCTCCGCTGGCTTCCCTTGCCCTTACCCTTTCCTTTTCCTTTCTTCCCTTTGCCCCCTTTGGGGGCTTCCTTTCCTTTGTCTCCCTTCCCTTTCCCCTTCGCGGGTCCTCGGTTTTCTCCCTCAACGGGGGTTCTCCAGGAGCCATCGCGCTCCCCCATCCAGGCCATGATGGCCCTCCGCGTATGCTCTTCCCAGGGAAGGGAGCAAACACCGGCTCGGTGGTCGAGGGCCTCTCTGGGTCCGGGACTGAAACAGTCCTCGGACCCAAGAGATCTGAGCCAACGCCCGATACCCTGTCGCCTCCAGCAACTGCCTGGCGGCGTCTGGCACGTCGAGCTGCGGGAGCAACTCCCTGCGGCAGCCCAAAAGGCTGCACGCCTCTAGACTCGTTCCGGTTGCAAGCGCCTCTCTACGGCCATGCTCAACATGCGTTTGGGCGGTGATATCGGGCGCATGAAGATCCACTTGCACGATATCCCGGGCCAACCTGTTCTGTTGAGCATCAAAGGCTTGAAGGCTTTGGGCGCCGTGATCGACTTCAGCACCAACGAGGCCATCTTCAATAATGTCGACGCCCGGAAGGTGACGACCTTGGAGACAACACCTAGCGGTCACCAGCTTTTCCCGTTGGCTGGAGATGTTCTTCAGAATGCATATGAGCGCACAGCACCTTTTCGAGGTCTGAAGAACGAGACCGCCGGCTCGAGGGCCAGCGAGTAGGGACAGCACCTTCTGGTGGCACTTGGCGCCACGGATCACCAGAAGGAAAAAGAGACTGAAGCGCCAGGCAGTTTGTACAGTACGGATTCTTTTTGCCAGCAAGCGGTGAGTAGTATTTTGTTGATGCGGAAGCTGTGAAGCTCATGTATATGTCATGCTGTTGTGTTCTGGTTTAAGTCGGATGATTGAGCCAAGAAGTCCCGGGCTGATGCCCTTACTTGAGTTTGATGCACTGTGCACAACTTAGAAGCTTCAACCTTGTACATCCCGAAGCTAGAGTTGAGCAGTTACGACAGGCTTGTTTGAAGTGCCAAAAGAAGAGTGCGCCGTGCCGTGGACCCGAACCACCCTGACTCCGCCAATCCAAGAACAGGCACGATCATGAATGATCATCAGGGTATGAGCCCAAGACGTCCCTCTGTGCTTGAGGGTGAGGACAGCGGGCCTACCTACGGTGCGGCGACTTCGAATCCCAGCGAGCAGAGGACGAGATCGGACGCTGTTGGGGACAAGAGTTTGGCAAATGGTTTGCCTACGGCTGCGAGTGGGGGACCGCCTGGCCTTGATCAGGCGCCGGCACCACAGTCAGTCGTGTCTCCACCGGTACCTTCTGTTTCCGACTTCTTGAGTACTTCGGCGGCCTTGAATCGAGATGATCAAGGACCTACGTTTTCGGCTGGAGTACCTCCGGAGGTTCAGGATGCAGGGGAAACTGGTAGCCGAGGAAGCGTTCGTGTGCAAGCTGGAGGGTTTGAGTTTTCTCCACCGGAGGCCTTTCCTGCGGAACAATCTCAGACTACGTCTTCTAACCAGGTTATGTGGTTTGCACGCATCGGAGAGTTTGTGCAGAGACGTGTGGCACAGGCAGGAGCAGCTATGAACCCGCTTCTGGAAACTCGCGCACCGCGGCCTTCGTCTCAGGTCTTGCAGACTCCATCGCCCCGGGTGCCTCGGCTATTCTCACCGGAAGCGGAACATACGATGTCTCAGTGGACAAGGAGGGCACCCCACCTTTACTCCCCGGAGCAGCGAGCGAACGAAGAGTCGTCCAGTGCTTCCCTGACCCAGGAGCAAGTCTTGGCGGAGGTGCAGAAGCAAGTTCGAGTGGAGATGAAGGCACATCATGAAGAACGACAAGCCTTGGCGTTTGAGAACCAGCAGTTGAAGGACATGTTGGAAAAGGTGTTGACTCAGGTGCAGTCTCGTGGACTGGACGGCAGAGGGAATGAGGGCTTACGCGGAAATTCGTCAGGACCCCATGGAGGCCTTCTGGCGGGTGAACCACAGGAGCGCGGAGGAAATCCAGGAGGACCGCATCAGCCACCCAGTGTACCTGGGGACGATCCTTCTAAGGCCCAACCGGTTCCGGGAGTACCTGCACCCCCAATTCTTGAACAAGGTGATCCACGAGGCGGCCATGAAGGAGCTCGATTACCTGGTGGCAATCCACTTGGTGCTTGGCTACCTTTCGGAAGCAAACGCACCGGAGAGAGTGGAGCTGGGAAGGTCGGGCTTGGGCTTGCTGGAGGACAGTCACAACCGCCGCCCCCGGAGGTGGTACCTTCTACGACCCATCCTACCACTACAGCGCCAACGACAACCGATCCACTTGGAGTGTTGGTGCAAGGGATGGCGCAGCTACAGACGGCGATGTCGGAGACTTTGACGTCGCGGTCTAAGGAGCCCGAAGTTGTGAAACCGGGCCTTGCGGAACTGCCCAAGCTGGCAGAAATGGGGCCGAACTCGGCCATTGACGTGGGAGATTGGCTACATGGACTTCAGAACCACATGGGTGATCTGAGTAACAACAGTGGACAATGGTGGTCTGAGGTCGTACAGTGCCTTACAAAGTACTACGAGGCGTACCTCGATGCGTCCAACGTCGGCAAGCTCACGATCCGGGCCGACGATTATGAGTCCACTGCCTTGAAGGATGCTAAGTGGGCCAGAGTGGATAAACGGGCTTCATCCATGATCCTGGCTAGTGTCCCTGAGGCGGTGAAGAGCGAGCTGTTGTCTACAAGGTTGGTGGGCTCCCTACCAATGCTGTGCAGGATTGTTGTACTGTACCGTCCGGGCTCCATCGCAGAAAGACAACAAGTTCTACGTGCACTGGAATCGCCAACTCAGGCGAACAATGCGGCCGATGCTGTGACTGAGCTCCGGAAGTGGGCTCGATGGATGGCCCGTGCGACGGACATTGGCATACAATGTCCAGATGCTAGTGTCTTGGTACGGGGGCTCGACGGCATTGTGAAGAAGGTCCTACTTGAGCATGCCGACATCGCTTTCAGAGTCTCTATGTTGCGCTACAACTTGGAAGCGGACACCCGGCCGACAGTGAAGGGTGCTAGGGACCTACAGCAGGCTTTGATGAGCGAGCTTGAGCAGGTTGCGTTCAGGGGAAGGTCTGCCAATGGTTCGGGGCCGAGCGTGAAAGCGGCTTCCGTGGCGCTGCCTTCAACGACGGCTGGGAAAGGAGATACAGGTCAAGGCGATGGCGGCAGCCCAACGGGGCGACCAAAGGCTAAGGCCAAGCCGGCGTGCCGTTTCTACCTGACCGACAAGGGCTGCAGCAAGGGTTCCTCGTGTACGTTTTCCCACGCATTTACACGGAAGGAGAGAATGGGGAGGTGTTGGACATGTGGAAGCACCCAACATCACCAGACGGAGTGCCCGACTCGTACGCAAAGCGGAACAAGTCCATCCGCAAAGGCGGGCGCTCCACCTAAGGCACCTCCTTTTGAAAGGCTGTGACAGAGGTGGCTTCGGTCGCCTCGACAACCGGATCTTCTACAAGCACGGCAACTACGACTGCGGCGCCTACTACTACGACTGAGGTTGAGCGCCCGGTGGTCCCCGAGAGTGAGCTGAAGGTCCTGCTGCAGGAGGCGAGTGCGATGCTCAAGGAGATTCGGCAGCTGAAGATGTTGGCCTACTCCACAACGCAAGTCGAATCTTGCACAATACCTTGTGCTCAGACCAGCGTTGCTGGTGCAATGGCTCATGACTATGCGATCGAATGGAGCCAATGATGTTCTGGAATTGATCCAATGGGGATTCGGTCGGGTAAGTCAATTAAGGCGGCCCAAGCGAGAAATCCACATCCAATCTCGGAGACGAGCTTGCTCCGTTGGCAATGCCGTTGGCGGGTGCATTCAATGCACGGCTAGCCATCGCAATCGTGATCAAGCTAAGGCAATCGCGAGATGCAATTTTGCTTTCTCAATCTAAGAGCAATCGCAAGCGGGAGAAACAAAGGAAACAATCACACAAAGCACACTCCAGGTTCAAATCCCAAAACGAGTTCAATTCCTACAAAATCATGCTATGTACAATGCTGTCAAACTTCAGCATAGTGGCTAACGCAATCAAAACTCGAAACAGTGAATGTTCGGTCCTGATCGTCAGCTTCAAAACAGTCCTCAATGCACAATCGGCATCCTTCCTTCAAACACTTCTTCCTTGCCAATGTATGGCATCATGGAATCCAATGCCAAGTCAATTTCTCTAGTTCAAGAAATCAGCAGACCAAAAGACTTTGGTTAAAGAAAATCACAGAGACATCAATCGAGTCTCTCCATGCGTGAAGATACCTTCCAATGTACTGAAATCAGAACAACAAATGCACATGCTGAGCTCACTTGAATTCTCTCAATTCTCTTCTTTCTTGAACACGACCAATGCAGCATGTTCCACTGAGACGCAATCCGAGGTAGCGGGCTGCAAATGCAGACAAATGCTTCACTGCGTGTCAATCAATCACCTGAGGTCATTAAATGGAACAACAAACAAACGAATTCTTGGTGACACAGATGAAACAATGTTTGTTTGGTTTTGGTGATTTTCTCAATGAAGGGTGAGTCACAAGGACGAAATGAAATGAAGTGGTCTCGGCCTTGACGACAACGGATATGAAAGCAATGAAAGAGTGAGTAGAATCGGCCATCAAGAATGGTCAATGACAAAGTGACAGAGACAATCTCCTCATCTGCACTCATGGAGTCCAGGGATCCGGCAATCCGAAGAAGAGTGATGAATGAGATCCAAGATGAAGTGAATCGAAACAAATGACAATCGATGACAATGTTTAACAGTTCACAATCACTCATACACATCTCAAGAAACAAGCTGACCAATGTCCTGATGTTGGTCGATTGGCAATCGAAGGAATCAATCCTTAGATGCACAATGCCTTGGTGTGTCGGGGATTCATCAATCTCTCCCAGACATTCCTTAGCAACGCAATGAGCGAAGAGATAATGCTCCTTCACAACATTACAATGTTCAGGTGCAAAACGCTCAATGCATGAGCTCCGATGTCCACACCAATCCTTCTCTACTCGAAACATACAAATGACGCCATGTAACAGAACAAAATAATCAAGAACAATAAATGACGTAACAGGGTGGTGATGATACTCAAAACAATTACGAATCCAAGATGGCAAAGCAAGCTGATGGAGCAACACCAAAGGGTGCTCACACAATGAATTCGAGACAATACAGAAGACACAAGGAATGACAGAGAATAAACACAGAAGTCTGGAATGCATAAGATCAACGTTCTGACAAGTGCAATGCTGAAGTGAAATCGCATGCAGCGATCTCAACGAAATGGCAGACCTTGGTTCCAATGAATCTTCAAGATCACAGTCGTAATCTCGGTCCCTCGAGTTCACGACAATCCTGGGAATCTTCATGATCAAGCCAATGCAGCAGCACTCAGTCAGGATCTCATAATCCTCTCTGCACTCAGAAATTCTCTCAGTCCTTCTCGTGGAATGCAATCGGTTCGGAGTGAAATGACGCTTCTCAACAAACGACGCGAAATGCAAATCATGATCAATCGCGCAATCAGCTAAATGACGGTCTTCACATCGCTGTGAACAGCTACACCAATATGGCAATCTTGGCAGAGAATGCCATTCGTCAAAAGTCGTGGAGTGTAAGCGGAGAATGGTGTAATTCTTCAATGCGTAACGGTCAACACGAAGCTC